GGTATGTTTTGAGATAATTGGAATATAAAGTAAAACTGCCTTATCCGACTGTTATCTGTTACAATTTAATTCATGCACGCTCTTCGTGCATAATTTTGCGAATGAGTCTCCAATCGGATTCGATTTAGTTAAGTGCCGTTAGAATAAGTTTGATATATGGACCAATTCTATGACTAATTGGTTTTTAACTTGGTATCTTTTATTATATTCTCGACTTTTATCTGGAAAGATGCACACAATTTCACCAATAAGTTTAATACTTCAGTACCCTACAACGTGCAATAATCAATAAATGTTTTTTAAATTTGCAAGTCCCAATCTTTGCAAGACTAATATAAGTTTATGCTCGGATAAAAATTAAAATCAAGCAAGTTTTCGTAGTTTTCGTAGTTTTCGTAGTTTTCGTAGTTTTCGCCCACAATACAACCGTGAAGTTTGTAACCGTGTGTAGGATATCTCCATGCTGTACACACAGTACACACTGTGTTCAATGTGCTAGGAACTCTATGTTATTGGACTTCTTTACGAATGCCCTATCCAATTATGTCATCCATGACAGTGCGTATTATGTTTAGTTTCCAGTAGAGTACTGTGTCCGAACTCCGAGTGTCCTTTTGAAATGAAGTTAGAATTGCCTCGTAAGCCAGCCATCATCTGATCATGAGTTATTTAGTTGAAAACAATCACGCAAGGCAAATTGCTCGCCATGGTGAAATTGTCAGAAAGATTCCTGTCCATATTGAAATGAAATGAAATATAGCATTTTTATCCGGCTTATATCAACAATTATAATAAAAATAAAGATTGCCACTGTCAAAGCGGCGGGCCTCGAAATATATTCCATTACTCCAAAAACACTCAATTTATGAATATGAACGTAAAACTCTAAGGAACAGTTTATGATCTTGACATTTTTGGCTTTTACTATTATTATTAGCTGATAAATGGTACGAGAATAACCTAATGAAACTTTGACTGTTCTCGTCTTGTCTGATGATTTTCTCCCAACTCGGAAAGATAAACAATTCACATTTCCCTATGGCGTTAATGACGACAATTACTTTGGCCTGTTTGAAATCAGGTAGGACCTTTTAATCCAGTATCTTGAAACAATTGCTTTCTAACGGTTCGGTAACTGTTTTTTTTTTTTTTTTTTTTTTTTTTTTTTTTTTTAAGAGAGGCTGGGCATAGAAAGCCCACTAGAGGATAGCATTAAGATGCTTTGCCTACCTCTGGGATGAGGGGGGGTTTATTGGAGACAACAGTGTGAATTGTGGAGGACGGTGGTGGTAATGATCTGAATGGGAATACCGCGCTTTGGTACCAGATGAGTTTATAGATCAGTTAGGCAAGGCTGCAAATGTGATGTGTTAATGCGCTAAGTTACGCCAGTCTGATCCAGTTCTTCTGGTACTATTAAGCGTTTGGTGCGGTTTGTGAAGTTGACGATTGTGGTAATGTGGTGGTTGTCGAATATGTCGTTGACCGAGAGGTAGTAGTCCCGAAAGTATTGACCTCTTAGTTGGGCAATAGCTGGGCACTGTCCAAGAAAGTGTGAGACAGTTTCCTCTCCGTCACCGCACATAGGACAAGCACTGGTGCTAGATTTGCGGATGGTGTGAAGGTGTTTGTTTAAGCCACAGTGGCCCGTGATTAGGTGGACTGCGGTTCTATAGTCTTGTCTATTGTTGATGAGTGACGTGTTTATATTATTGATTATTTTGGTGTGCTTTTGGCCAAGTGTTAGTTTGGTGTGTCTAGGACCATCCGTTAACCAGATATCCTGATTCAGTCTGTGGACTTTGTTGTTGATTTGTCGTTTGATGTAAGATTGAGGGATTGGGCATTTCAAAACGTGTTCGCTGGTCGTGCCAAGCTTGGCCAGCTCATCCGCTTTTTCATTTCCCCACAACCCAATATGGGCTGCGATCCATCGGATCTCTAGAGTGTTGTTCGATCCGAGTGCGTTAAGGGTGTCATAACAGTCTCTAGTAGTTCTGCTCCTCGTTGAAAGCGAGGAAATAGCTTGTATGGAGGAGAGACTATCAGACCATATAATGATGTGTGAATTGGTGTAGGATGCGAGATACTTGCAGGCTTCAATGATTGCAGTAAGCTCCGTCTGGTAGACAGTGCAATAATCAGGGAGCTTGAATGATCTCTCTTCCAGGATGGTGTTGTTGTTGTCAGTCGTGATGATGTACCCAGCCCCACTTCCGGAGTCTGATAGAGACCCGTCTGTGTAGCAGGTGATCGTTTCACTGGTAATGTTGTCGATGGTGTGTTGGAGTGCGGTTCTGTATTCAGTGTTGTTAGTTCCAGGAGTGGTGACGGTGATTCGGTAACTGTTATATCCGCAGTAGAACACTTATTTTAGAATTCCTTTCTAATCCACAGTCTCTGGCCCATTATTAAGGGTATTATTAGAAACTAGTGCAACCCGTGCCTACGGTAGGCACGTAGGCACGGGTTGAAATGCAGTTGAAATGCAAAAGTATAAACCGGCCTATTATATTCGAAAGTATGAACTCTCTCTATAGTCCAAACATACCGCAATGAGTGCCCCTCTCCTAATAAGCTTATAGTATTACATTACAGTGAATCTTGCGGCTGATCTACTGCCAAATATGAAATAACCTAATTATTATTCATGTTTCAACCCTGCATAATAAGCAGTAATGGGAGAGAGAGAGAGAGAGAGAGAGAGAGAGAGAGAGAGAGAGAGAGAGAGAGAGAGAGAGAGAGAGAGAGAGAGAGAGAGAGAGAGAGAGAGAGAGAGAGAGAGAGAGAGAGAGAGAGAGAGAGAGAGAGAGAGAGAGAGAGAGAGAGAGAGAGAGAGAGAGAGAGAGAGAGAGAGAGAGAGAGAGAGAGAGAGAGAGAGAGAGAGAGAGAGAGAGAGAGAGAGAGAGAGAGAGAGAGAGAGAGAGAGAGAGAGAGAGAGAGAGAGAGAGAGAGAGAGAGAGAGAGAGAGAGAGAGAGAGAGAGAGAGAGAGAGAGAGAGAGAGAGAGAGAGAGAGAGAGAGAGAGAGAGAGAGAGAGAGAGAGAGAGAGAGAGAGAGAGAGAGAGAGAGAGAGAGAGAGAGAGAGAGAGAGAGAGAGAGAGAGAGAGAGAGAGAGAGAGAGAGAGAGAGAGAGAGAGAGAGAGAGAGAGAGAGAGAGAGAGAGAGAGAGAGAGAGAGAGAGAGAGAGAGAGAGAGAGAGAGAGAGAGCGAGGAGGGAGAAAAAGTCAGCCATTTTATGTCACATTTGTGGTACAAAACCATCAATTAAACCACCAGCCGATTTTTAAAAGATTTCCTAATTGGCTTCGTCAGAGTTTTGTTTGCACTATACCGAAAAAACCAGTCCCATAACTCTTACCGTTTTCTTAATTAAGCCGCTCGGAAATTTCCCACACACAGATTTACTGGGATTATTAGTATTGATGATTGTTCAAGTTAGAACACCCCAGTCCCCACTTGTATTCAATTGAAATATCAGTTAATCCACTCACTGACAATCTCAGAGTAATCACAAAATCAGCCTTTTTGTCGTATTAACTGTAGACTCAAGTAGTATCTGTATTCGGTAAGTATCTGTATCTGTAAAGAGCCTAACACTAAAAGATACTTGACTTTCAATTTATGACCACAAATCCATTCGCTTCTGTGAACTGCCGCCAACCGCCTGCATTGTGGACACGCAACACCTCCCGCGTCGAGCCCAGAATCACCTGAAAAACTAATTATAAGTTCTTCTTCGCTGTGGTACCAGTAAGTGCGTGTGTACGACTATAATATACTTATTGCAAATCACAAGAAGCGTTATAGTGATCCTGGCACTACACGCCCTGACCTCCGGCTGGCAGAATTCCCGCCAATCAGGACGGGGAGAGGATATACACTCTCCAATCACAGCACGTCTCTAAATCCTACTGTCACGTGATAAGCTGTGATGGATTGGCTTTTACAAAACCATAATTCATTAGAGCTTTAAAAATTAACTTGCTCTAATTTCCTACCAGGTCAGTTAAATGATAATTTTCCGATATTTTATAAGCTGTCCAGCACCTCGATCATACTAATTTGTAAACCGTAGTAGCCGTTGACCAATCGTAGAAGCTGCTACGGAAAGGAGGAGTTGCTACGAAAAGGAAAATTAATGAACAAATTTATGATTAGGCCCGGTTTTTCCGAATCAGTATATTGGATACACTGGTTTACCGTCCATTTCTTGATTACCTGATTACCAAATTTTGCTAACTGAAAAACTTTGAATGGATTAGGACAGTGTTCGCTCTTTAAATCACGATATACCGGATACAGCACAGGGAAGAGAAAAAAAGTACAAATGGGTGATGTCTGTCCGTCCATACGACTCACTTTATGCCACAGTAATATTTATTTTCAATAACTGATGGCTATAAAACATGTTTCCGTCGGATTGTAGAAACAAAAATGAATTAATTCGGGGCTCCTGGATTATATTACGAATCTCAATAAATTCCCTGGTCCGGTCCAAGGCTCTTAACACAGACACGAATTGTAATCGATGAGATAATTTAAAGTGCAGCCCAGACGACATTACTTCCCAATTTCTAGACAATTTTATTTACTAGTAATGACTATTTGACCCAAAAAACTCTACCCTTGATTGAAATTAGTATGTTCCGAATGGGTCTATTGAATTATGATCAGTGATAAATAGTATCAGGGAGGCATTTGCTACAATGGGTGATTCAATATTAAATGGAATGGGCGTCTTTTAGACTATTAGTCTGAAATGAGTGGATGGTAACTGGTAAAGGTGTAAGACCATCGGGAAACAAATCCATGTGGAGAAGAAACCCCATTTGATTTATAAAATGGGTGATATGATAATTCAATTGAACCGTTTCATGGTTTGTAGCTCAATTGTTAGGGTTTATGAAGTATGAACGACAAGAAAAAGAAAAACTCAGAAAAACCAACAAATATTAACTTTATGCAAAACATTTGAACAATTCTCCCAATATCACTCAGGTGCACCCGGTGGAGTCTGCCAGAAGCGACAAGCAGTCGGGGGATACAACAGAAACCTAAACACTGCCATCGTGTCCCTTATCAACTTTGGCAGATATGTGGGCCATGCGGTCTCTTTTATCACTGTCGCTCACGAGCTGGGCCACAACTTTGGATCTTCTGTGAGTATTGAAAGTGGTTGGTTGTAGTGCTTTGTTATTTGTTTGCTGTGGAATAAAACCGACTTAGTGTCAATGACCGAAGAAACAGTTTCCTCTGACAATCTTATTTCCAATGCTACCCGTCCTTCCCCTCTGGTTATATATTAGTTATGTTAATCAAACCAATGCTTGATAATTTGATATTTCTCAGCACGACGAGGATTCTCCTTCATGCTCGCCCGGGTTAGAAGGAGCTGGGAACTACATCATGTACGCACGTGCAACAGATGGCAACCTGCCAAACAACGTTAAGTTCAGCTTATGCAGCAAAGAAGCTATCACACGAGTACTTTCTGTCAAGGCTGTACAGTGTTTTCAACAGGAGAAGAGTTACTGTGGTAACAAGGTCAGTCTCATATATTGGTATCCTTCCTTAGTTTGACGAATCCAACCCTCAGGGACCGAATAATTATCCAAATATGCCTGTTTTGATATCTGATGATTTTTCATTAAACCACCCGAATTTCCCAGATAAAAGAATGGAACGAGGTATGTGACTGTGGAAACGTAGAAACGTGTAACGACATCGACCACTGCTGTACCCCCAAATCAGGCATCTCCACAGGATGTGTCCTGAAGAGAAGTCAGCTACGCGGACCTGCATACCATTACCAGTGCAGTCCTCAGGAGGGGCCGTGTTGTGAGGCGGCTAGTTGCTCTTATACTGCCAAGTCTCACAAGTGTCATGATGAGGAATCCTGCAAACATTCCAGCTACTGTAACGGTGAGTTGTAACATTCCAGCTACTGTTACAAATTACAATCAACTTCTGTTGTCTTGTTTTAGACATTACTTTTCCGTCTTCAAGTTCTTATTTTCTTTACTCGGGGTTATGACACAGTGTTTCCCTGACCAGGTTCCTCTGGAGTGTGTCCAGCAGCTCCCCACAAAAATCAGATGTATTGTAATGATGGTTCCAACACTTGCTACGAGGGAGAGTGTAAGGGCAGTGTCTGTCAGCTGGTAAACTTGGCCGAGTGCCAATGTCAGAGAGATAATCTGTGTACAGGTGCGTTAAGATCTGTGACGATCTTTACATACCTGTATCTTTACATTTCTTGTCTGGTGAACTTTCAAGGAAAAACATTATTTGAGATTTTGATCATACGACTTTAAGCGTTCATGTATCTATCTCGTTGGTAGAAACTTCTTATTTTTACAGTGTGCTGCTTGGAAGGAGGGATGTGTCGACCATCGGGCAGTTTACTGAATCAGGACATTCAACTAACATACCTGATGTCTGGTAGATCTTGTAACAACTACAAGGGCTACTGTAACAGTGATCATCAGTGTATACAGGTACAGATATTTCATACTGACAACTGATCGCTGTGTAGTTCCACAGTACTGCAGCTGATTATTCTCCATTTTTTTGCCTTATAACTTACAACAATGCCTTATTTCGTGGCTATGTTTTCACCGTACGATATCAATAACATCCTGCAGGTTAACCTAGAGAATCCCCTCACTTCGTTGGATGATATTTTCTCGAAGAAGAATCTGGGAAATGCGTACCAGTGGCTGAAGACGCACTGGTATTACACGCTCACCATTATCGGCTGTACCTTCCTACTTTGTATTCTCCTCAAGGTTCCCTGTCTTAAACATTTACACGTCATGCTTCTATAATAGCTTAACCTAAATAGGCTACAATCTCATGCTTTAAAGTTTGTAGTTTAACAGCGACAGTTTTAGATGATTTCATAATCTGAATAGAGATTCAAGATTGACAAATTCCAATAACAAGCATGGTCTGAAATCTAAATCCTTCTTAATTTGGCTGATTAAAACTGTAACCAGGTGACGTACAGACGATCAGCCCCCATGCAGAAGTACATGCAGCACATCTCCCAAACCCTGAGAAGAGTCAGTAAACCAAACAGCCACTACCAGCACCACCAGCTGCCTGGTACTCCTAACAGCGACGAGGACCGTAAGTACTGGGACCCGGGGTTTTTAAAGGGTTAGGCTCGTGAACTTCTGCCCCCATGGGAATTACCGCTGGTATTTTTAGGGGCTGTTGACAAGGGATATAATATTATCTGTCAAAAATTCCATGACAACTGTTATCTGCGACACAGAGAAATTATTTATTGGGTTGTCTGGATTTTAGGTATATCAAGCATTCTGTCCGTTTATTGTTACACAATTCTTAACTATGTAGGAAATTATGGTTAGACAATTTAAATAATTAATTAGGCTGGGAACGGGTGATCAATGCACCAAGGCAACAATTTCACCGGCGAACTGAATTCTCATGTTACCACTTGGACTATTATGGTATTGTAATGAATTCAGCACGGTTCAATATATATTTTAATAGTATGCTTCTAAGTAGTATCCTCCTTTTGAATTATCTAAGTTTCATACCCGCTAAACGAACAATTTATATTATCCAATTTATCCAATTTAAATGAATACTGGTTAACTCCAATAAATTAGCTATCCTAATATCCTATGTCTCCATGTATATTTAATTTAAGGGTTATGGTGGATCATAAGGTCATTGCCATTCACCATTACTGAATGGAAAGCAAAAATAGGAAGATTATAGGAATCGGAAAAATTTTATTCAGCTGGTCCTGGCATGTAATTTATTGAAGAAAAAAATCTTTTGGCTTTTTGTCTGGGTCTCTCACACACTTTACCCGCAGAAGAGAAGCTGGCAAGGATGTGTGCAATGTTCCCCACAGCGAGCAGGGCAGTGACATGGGACGTGAGAAGAGAGGCGGTGAGTGAGGAGGCTGCCGTTATTACCATGCTCAATCTGGGATATCCCTTCAAACCTAACTCATTGTAAACAACAGTCTCCTTTTTTCAACCTTGAATTTCGTCGATCAATTACTTTTTTAAAGTTGAGGACAGCACAGCTCGAAGAAAAACTCGAAGAAAAACTTTAAAATTCAGTGTTCATTGCAAATTTCATTGTGAAAAGATATGAATAGTAAACAGCCAGCAATCATGTATGCATCCAAACACGTTTATTGACCCAAAAAGTAAGAACAATATACAGATCAGATTTCAAAAGTAACCCTATATCTTTACGTAGTATGCTATAAACAATGATACTATTTAAGTATTTCCATCTTACGGGGGTATTAGGCTTTAGCTGCCAAAATTAAACAAATACTGTTTTCATTTAAACTTTGATTTATACTCTGATGATTCATGATATTTGAAAGTTATTTTTGGCTGGAGGTGGCCACTTTTGCTTTGACTCGTGACAGATGTGCCCCTATATTATTAATTTTAGTAGCTGGTCTCAAAGCTGCTTAAGTAACTGAATAGCATAACTGAATGGTAAATTTGGGCTGTTTACATGTCGAAATAAATCTGTTTCATCTCCCAGTCCTCATTTGTTAACTTAGTGTTTTGCTCATTTAAATTTTTGGTAATAATGAACGATCTAAGTATTTAATTATTCGTTGCTAACTAATTTGTTATTTTAAGTAAAATTATTTCAACTTCAGATAGTTTTTCTATGCTACAATGTATGTTTTAAAGCTGTTCAGTGACCACATCTTTAAAAAGGCCTTATTTTGAGTTAACTGACAATTTCTACCGGGTGGAACTGCAAGCGCACCATAATTTGGCACTGTTTTATATCATGATGTCATTTAAACTTAAACCACTATGTATTTTAAATGTCATTCTAGTTTTTATATTATTACGTAATTCTGATATATGATAAGTTTAGTTTTTTTCTAGTGCTGACGATTCAGATTTTATGTATTCATTAAAAACATAGAAAGACTAGAATGCTGGTTCATATAATTTTTGTAGCTAAAACAGTTTTACTTTTTAGTAAATATATTAATCATTTATCAATTTTATATGATGATATTGATTATTAATATTTGTATTACTTATTTATTCATTCTTTACTGTTCGTAATTCAGGTGTTTAATTGTTTAAATAAAATTAATGAAAATCTTGGTAACCATAATAAAATAAAAATCATAATGATATAATCACAACTTAAGGTTCTTATTAAAAATTGTAACTTCACCTTGACTAGCTAACTTGTTTTCCGAGCTAATCAGACCTAGGTATCAACGTTCTGAATGCTTCATGGTTCACTTCATGTCGCAAATCGTTTCCTGGACATATAACCTAGAAGCCTATTTTGTAATTATATTGCAAGGTCTCTGTCAAAGTTATCTGTGTTAGTCTCCCTCAGAACAAAGTCTAAAATTTGAGCGATTTATTTAACACATATAACATAACTGCGATTCTATTGAACGAACCAAAGTGTCAGCGCGTTCAAATTCTTGGAAAAACTGTATCTAATTGATCTAACTTCGTGGTAAATCTTATTTCAGATTGTTCTTGTTTGGACAGGTTCAAAATTTCAAATTGTTTTCAGCCAACTGATTGGTCCAAATGGGAGCGAGTTTCAGTTTTTTAACGTTCTAGCAACACTTTTATTGGGACTAATCACTAAACCCAAATATTAGGGCCATTTTTAATGAGTTTTTGAATATTTACAAATTTTCTAAATACCATGAATATGTGCCCTTTTTTCTAATTGCAATTGCAAATGACCTAGGGGCTGCATTAACTTAGGACGTCCGGCAAATAGGGAGGGGGCAGTTTTGAAATTTCGGACAAATCCAGACAGGGGGAGGGGGGGGGTCCGGGGTGGTTTCTGAAAATCCGGACGTCCGGAAATTTTGGCAGAATTAACGAAAAAGTCTCATTTATTTAAACTCTGACAATGAATTTAAGTTGGTTTTATTTGTACTCTTAAAAGTAGCTGGAAATTCGGACGTCCGGGGGAGGGGGGGGGGGGGGGGGTGGTCTGAAAATCTGCGATTTTGGCGGACGTCCTAAGTAGATGGCCCCCTACACTATAGATTTGATAAAATAGCTCCAGTTTTAAAAACATTTTCTAGAAGCCTTAAGAAAAGGTTAATGTTTGCAAAATGTATAGCAAAACTTTTGCTAATCAGGGAATTAAGGTCAGTTCTAGAGTCTAGACCCTCCCAGTACTTCTTAATAACGGATAGATACTGAAAAGAATAAGGAACTGAATAGAATCGGTCAGTGTTGAATTTCAGAATCGCTTATATTTCGCATTACAATTTTTCGTCTCATGAGAAAATTGTTCCATGAGGGGCAATCTCCGCCAAAGGGTCTGGATATAATGTTCTCTGAAATTAATTTCCTATTCTGGTGCTAAGGTGCGAGATCGCCCGATTTCAAAGCACAAGCATCGTCCCAGTCTCTGATTGGGTCTCAACGTACCAGGCTTGGTGCCCGGAAATCATTGCACATCCCTTACGTCACCTCTGCTGGGAATGGGTCTGAAATTACAGATACATCTCCTCAAATAGTAGTTTTAGTATCCAGTACTATACCCTGGCGAGGTGGTGGATATTATTAATGGTCTAAACTTGCAAGACAAACTTAGGGATATTTCTCTAGACTTAAATGGTGTCAATATTTGAACAGAGCAACTGATCAAAAGGGTTTCAAATGTATAATCTAGCCGAGAACAGTTATAATCTTGTTTTGAGTATTTTGACTTTAAGTTGGTAATGGAATGTTTGAATGAATTGATTGACTTAAAAGTTCAAATATCATGTTTGGTGATCATGTGCATTGTGCACCGACCAATTCTACAATAACGACCTCCATTTCTGCTAGCTAATTTCCTGTTAACTACCCCATACCTGTAAACTTTTAAAATCACATTGGCATTGCTCCAGCCTTTAAGTAAAACTCATTATTTGAGTAGGCGGGGAGATCCAATTTTTAACAAATTTGTTGATTAATTAAGTGTGATGGACAAAAAAAGTTAACTAAAAATTTGGTTCTATATGTAAAAGTGTAACTGACTAACTGTATAAAATAATAAAGATTCGCCAATCCCTAGTAAGGATGCTGAGCTTTCTTTCATTCAGCGAATCAGCTTGGGTTTAGAATCTGGATAAGATCACATATGCTTATGATAGTTTATTATTTAATGAATCGACGTACACTTAAAGTTTGCGTTACAATATAATATGTACTTCAAATGTTCATCCCCATCTCTAGTTCCTTCCCCTTTCGATCTTCTCTTCATCGACAACTCCCAGTATATGTCTCCTACCCGTTCTCGCCATGCCACCACCAGAACAACCTTCTCAATCTCTCACTGTAGCTCCTATCCTGACCCACTACCTCGGACTCATTTCTTTCCCATCTTCTTCCCTGTGCAGCTTCTTATCACTTGCCTATTATCACCACTAACCTCGATTAACCCATTTTCTCACAATACAATTCCTTCCCTGAAATTATAGTCATGGTCCCACGTTACCTTATTTTTCTCCCGCCAATGGCAATATCGTATATCTCGGAGTAAATAACATCTTCTATGCCATATACCAGATACAGTATCTGATTCTTCTGGAATAGTAGCAGCACGACAAAGAGTTCAATTTAAAATTTAATTGTTTACTGAAAAAGCCGAATTTAATTAAATTCCTGCTAGGTCAAATCGAATGTCCTCATTGCAGCTGTAAACTATGAATGGACAATTGAAACCTAATTGATAGCCGATGGAAACCTTTTGGTGGTCACTGGACGATGGACACGCTGAGCGACCAGCACCTATACTGGCTACGATCGCAAGGTATAAGAGGGGGCCACCTCAAAAATGGTCACCTTCTTAACTATGTATGGGTCTACTGTTGTAACATTGAGTTGGACCCCCCTCCAAATTAGTGAACTCTGGTGTTGGTGTCCACTAATTACACGGTAGGTGCACTTGACGCTGTAGCACTCCGGGTAACAGACCCCTTTAATTGAATGAAACTGCTATCGCTCTTCCATCAACTGGATCTAATTAGTAATTGTTCAATGTATCAGTTGGGTGACTTTTTATGAAATTATTTGGTGATCTGGTGTGAAATAATTTGATTTCAGAGCCCTCCGGCCCCGGTAAAATTGCTGAAAGACCCAGTTAGGTGCAATCACGTGACCTCAGTAGTATGAGTCAGTACAATTGGAAAATCAAGGTTTCTTTTGAGAAGGTAAGAATTAGATAATAAGTGACCTAAATCCAGATCCAAAAGAGTTAAAGAATTTAGTTTATAAGAGAATTTGGAGCTTAAACTGTAGGTAAGTTTAGTAATATAGTAACTTTTTGGAAGTGTTCATGTTAAATCACGGGATTAAATATTCCATACACTACTAGTACTACTAGTTGTGATCTATTAAATGTAGATTATAAATTGTTTCATTCCTAAAATATTGCATCACACTTCTATTGACAACTGAATACGCGGAGGGGAGGGAGGTTACAAATTGGTCAAATAGTGATTACCTAATATGTGCAGTCATGTGCACGACCTCTTATAAACCACTAAAAGAAAAAGTTAGATTTATGTGGTGGTTGCAGGCTGCAGCTGATCCTCGAATGAGGATATTAATTCTAGGAACTATAACCTCAGCTCCTTGCCTGATGAGACTGTTTCTAAGAAACGTTGTGATACACAGAACAATTGTCATCATATATTATAGGTGAATAACACTCTTTTCAGTTATACGTTGTTCAGAAATATAGTGGTTGTGGTCGGATCTCTAATATTCTGATGGATCTCTGACCAGCCATGCAGCCTCAGAGCTAACAACCGTCCTCAAATCTCTTGATCAAATCTCCTGATTACCGTGTGAGTTATACGTGACTGGCAAACCACTACTTAATTACGAATAAGTTACAATTCATGTTATCCATTGTGACTCATTGCCCACAGCTTTTTGAATAAATCCTCACCTGTTAGATTTACTAGTCCTCACGTGTTTTGCTTCTTTTTCTCGCTCAGATTAAGATTAAATCACATAATATCATGATGTCGGTGCCGACTTCCAACCTACCTAATCCAAAATGGATATATTTTAACGTGGTATCCCACGCAATGCCGAGCTGGGACGCCCGGAACTGGGCTCGCGAGGGGGCGAACTTGCCCGCTCCTACTCAGTTTAAAGCTTTTCTTGTCGAGCTGTGAGGTTAGCAAACACAACTCGTTCCTTGTGAAGAACTGGTACCAAATCTCAGACTCGTACCACGTGACTGTAATTCGCTCTATGCAGTTTATTCAATAAATCGCGCACAATAATTAAATTATTTTCTGCTTGATAGGTGATCAAAGTTGTTAGAATTATTTAAATTCTTCGAATTTGTGATCAAATCGCAGCTGATAAGAGATTGGTAACAGTTCCAAAGAATGCCGATTTAGTGATTCATTAATTATTATTCGTATTCTCGTGGCGATGATTCTTAATCAAGTGTCATAATGAATATGGGCACAATTAAATCATGATAATCAGGGTGCTTAAGATCGCCTTCCCTTGATAGGGTAGAAAGTGTGCTCCAGTTCTGTTCTACTGACGATATTGCCGAATAAGTGTTCTTGTCAGGACGAACTAACCATCAGTTTGGCCTGATCTCATTCTCATATTGCTCAGCTTGGCTACACCCATTCATTCATTGAATAACATCTGCTAATTTTATAACTACTGACCTATATTCTTAAGAAATGCCAAATTTTTGTCCAAGGAAATAGCAAGAAATTTGCTTGATGTTCTTGCTACATACTTAAATTGCATCTGAAGAGGTCACTTCTAAAGTTCTAAAAGTAAACGTTTCCAAAGTTATGTCCAATGAGACCACTTCTTTACTAATCAACAACTTCCGGAAGGATGGTATCCTACTCTCTTCAGAATTTGGTGGGTTATACAGTCAAAAGTCGCACACTTTTGTTTTGTCATTAGAGTTAGACATTAGGCCACGGCTGAGACTTAATATGCAAATTGGATGAAATATTTATTGCATAAAACAATATAGCAAGTCAGAGAAATTTCGATATTAGGTTGCTACTAAAATTCATCTTTTGAAAATGTTAAAATTTTAGGCTTATTTAAGAATTGTCTACATGGATCTATTTATACATACAATGGAGTTCCCTCTAAGAGATCAAATTCTTCTCAAGAAAAGTTCGACTGTTGCAATGATAAGCAATGATGCTGATAATACAAAAGGATGTTTTTATAACAGGTATCTATATTTGTTGAATAGTTGCAGTGAAGGTATATGCCTGCAGTGAATGTTTAACCGATTATCCACTGTAGACACCATCTATAACTGCACTACATAATATCTGCAGAATCACTGGAAAATTCTGCCAATATCGATGGATCTGTTTGTGATCTGTCGATAAAAGTGATACTGTATCACTATGCTATCGCTGGTATCATTCGTGTTTTCAATGACAAATCCTCTTTAACCTTGATACTTAGAATATGTGCAATCCAATCGGAAGGTTTTGAAGCGAAACACAGGTTGCACTGTCCGTGTCAAGCACTAATTGAATTGTCAGTAATCACACTCCCAGTCCGAGTCGGTACTACAGTCCACTCCTCAGTTCTCAATCCTTCTCCCGCGCAGTCACGTGACTCCCACGCTGGTCCCTGATTGGTTAATTGCGGTTCCTCACGGCCGCTGATTGGCTACTGTTGCTTGGATGAGGGAGTCGTGACAGTGCTCGCGAAAGTACATGATGTAGCGAGAAAGAGCGGAGGACGGTAGCATCTCGTGTCAGTGTTACCAGTACTGGCAGCCGAGCAGAATCCACTACATGTAATTAAATTACGACACAGCAGATGGAGGGAGGCGGAGAATTCTAGTGCTGTAATTATCGTGCGAGGAACGAATGATATGTGCGTGTCACGAGCTGGCTCCTTTGTTTAGACCACGACCTCTGACTCACCGTCCCCGGATCTTTCCCAACTCCAGCCGGAAACCATTCCCGTGTAATTTCCGGGAATTTACTGATCCATGTTCATGCCCAAACCAGTGCTTCATTTCACACTTAAGAATATCTGGTACCATCTTGGGCACTGGGTAAGAACCAATCAATTCTCTATACTTCTGAACATGATCATACGTGAATAGTGGAAAATGTGGACAAATTCAATACTTTTAGTTTTACGTTCTGGTTTCGGATTTGTGCACCAAAGTGCAGAATGCAGGCCACACCCCCTTCCTACCATGATGATATTAATTTGCCGGGCTTATTCAGTAATGTTTAGAGGCTACACCCTAAGGTGAAGCAAACTGTGAGTAGTTCTTGCTAGTAGGTACTCATTATTCAATAGCCAGCCTGTATTAAACACTAAAATATGGTAATTAGTATGGTCCACGCTGCTGCCCATTTCTCTCAATTTATTGTCCTGATCCTAAAGTACCCATGGGCACTTTAGGCTCGTGATCAGGTAGTCCAAAATCTATTCCTACCCATCAGATTGTCCATGATATTTTAATCAAATTTTCCCTAGGCCTAAGATTAAACGACCATTCAGAAAATTCTTCCGAAACACCACGATGGTATCAAGCCTGTCACCATACTGAATACGATATGATCCTTTAAAGACTGTCACGGCTGGCAACCGTTCTGAGGATATTTGCTTGAATTCTATGGACATAACGAATTTTCCTATTATCTCACCAGAAGAATGAAGGGAAATAAAAAGGCATCCGAAACCAATGGGATCTCCTTGCCAAATCAGCTGGTTGGTCACGTGTTCGTCCATCGATTCTACCATTATCTGTGAGTGGTGTAAACAAGCACGAACTGAAATATCAAGGGAACGTTTATTTTTGCTGAAAATCTATAAGTGGCCAGATAAGTTTGGCATGTTATTTTAAACGATTCCATCTTAAAATCTTAAATTTAATGAGATAGGAGACAGCTCTAAATTGCTGTTTGATCTTCGTGAGAACCGATTAACTATTTACCAATAGGTACCATTTTTAACAGTCTGATCTGACAAAGTAAAAATCGATGGATAAGTGAAATCAGAACTTATTCAACAAATAAATATAACGAAATAAATCAAAAGTCAAATCACACAAAACTGTTTCGTATTATACTGTGGCAAGATCCTTGCCGCAAAAAGTTAAATATTGTCAATACTTAAATCATTGATCACAAACATAAAATTATCAGTTTGTTCTCTGTTCCTTCTTCGTTCAATCTAGTGTCCCTTCCTCTCTCTTCGCAGGTACTTCTCAGATCTTCCCTTCAAACTTGAGAATCAGCTTAAAACACGCTATCAGTAAATGGAACGGCCAATTTCCTCTTCTCAACTGATTCTGGAGTTAGGGAGAGAAGAAGTGTTGACTTGTTCACCACGAGCTTGAGAAGCCAGACCTCCGAGTAGACCCAGCTGCTGGAGCCTCTCATACGACAGGGAGGAAGCAAGGCTGAGAGAGGAGGTCGAGAGGGAAGGGAGATTTCCTAACCAGGGGTAGTTTGCCATGGTGGGGGTCTTCCAGAGTAGGGTAGAGTTGAGGTTACCTCCGGAGATTGAGGTTATGACTGGTCCTGAGCAAGTAGAGGTTAGTTTTCTTGGATTTTTGAGGGGCTTTGGTTTTAGTTTGTGATGTGACCATTATAGTACTTAGTGTCTAGGTAGGAATAAATAATTATTGTTAAAAATCAAGGTGTGACCGAAAAAGTCATATGAACTGACTAATCAGTTCACACAATTTACTGTAATAGAACAGAACTTTACGTACCCATGCCATTAGAGGGTTTGTGTTCAACAGGTTTAGGTTGAGATTTATCCGCACAAGTTCCGCCAATAAGTCTCATCCCTCTTGGCACTGGTCCTGGACGCCCGTTAGACAGCTTTTGTCTCTTCCTCCACTTTGCTCGACGATTTTGGAACCAAACCTGGATGAGGGGTTTGTTAGAAAATATTATAATTCTATATATAGACATATGGGATAGAAAAATGTTAATTAAGTTCAAAATGTTGATAAAGTGGTTATATGCAGGTTGACTGATAGGTGATTGGGAGCATTTTAAAAATTAGATAAAGTGGTTATAAAAGAAGAAAAATTGAGAAGTGGAGTGATTAGAAATTGGCATTAAGGTGTCGGTGATTGATAAGAAGGTTTAACATCAACCTGGAATATTCTATCTTGAATGGAAAAACTGGCCTGTCATAGTTTGCACGAAAGGAAGCGAAAATTTGCAAAGATTTTAAAAGTAGTCATTAGACATTGTTTTAAATTGTCCTAATATCCTCGTAAATTAAATGCAGGTATTCAATATTCATTACCATCTTTAAATCTGCAACTTGGGTAATCCTTAAATTCAAGCAATTTGACATATCCAAATCACTGGATTTTCATCCCCTTTTACCTAATTCATTTTAACTATAACTCCTAGTTATATGGTTTTACAACTGGGGTGAATTCCAACTGCATCATAATTACACGTAACTTAAGTGCTCGACTCAACAACTGGCTTCATTGTTTAAATTCTTGCCTTAAAACGGCATTTAATTTGACAGGTTAATCTCTTTCTTCCGAGAAAATCCTAGAAAATACTAATTTCCCCGCTCTTCGACTTGACAACTTTAGTGAATAAACACCCGGCTCGGCGTAGCTGTGAGAATTAAACATCTCAGGAAACAAAAGAATGGTAACATGTTTGTGGTGTAGAGAAGGTGGTCTAATGGAATTATATTTATACGTTGTTGTGGGACCTACAACAGAAGAAGATTTACTAAACAATGGAATTACAATCTGGTACCTAAACTCGGACTATCCAATTAAATTCTTGTGGAGGGGTCATGTGTGATGTGACGCGTCCATTTTATACGAACCTAACTAATGAAGAAATACATTCGAGAGTTAAAATTGTTGCAGATTTTGATAAAAACTGAAAACATAAAACACTGTTAATAAACACTGGATAAATAACTGAGGTCATTCATAAAAATTAAGTATTTGCAATAACTGACTGGTAAATACTGTCCTTGAGTCTCAGATTTGATATTCATAACTTTCCCGACGTAAATTATTTCATAATATATTTGGTCTTCAAACATGTTCTGAGTACTTCCGCCTGTGATAATTTGAATTTTGCGATATGTCCAATGACCATATAACTTTACTGCTTTTCGATGGCCAATAAATTAGATTATGAAGCAACCGCATAAACCATGTTTAAGTCGATGTATCATGAATTCTAGAATGCAACTAATCCGCATATTAATAATGATCATTTATGATTTAGATAAAAACTAGCAATATTTCACAAATTTTGGGTTATGTCATTCCCTTGAATGCTGCTGACTCATCTGCATTATTGTACACTAAGTTGGGAGGTGAATCATAAACTGATCTCAGCTGCGTGACGGAGTAGAATCAGATGAAAAATGAATTATCACATGCTAACTACCCCACCACGTGATCCTGACTTTCCCGACGTAAATTATATCATAATATTTGGTCATAATATCATAATATTTATTCTTCAGACATGTTCTGAATACTTCTGGCGGGTAAATTTATATGGTCATATCGAAAATTTCAAGTAGGCCAATAAATGAGATTAAGAAGCAACCACATAAACCATGTTTAATGTTTATGTCGATATATCATGAGTTCTAAAATGCATTTAAAACGCATATTAATCTTACTATATATAAAGCGAGACGATATATATATATATATATCACAATAGTGACTTTAAAATATATATATATATATATCCGTACCATTTTACTGACACCACCAACTTTAACACGGCTTTCCGCAAAAACCGTAAAAGATATACAACTTACATTTTTTTGACTGGTTCAAATGCATGAAAAAAATTGGCCAAGGAATAAGAATTTAAATGCCCATAATTTGGACCCCAAGTGGTGTCAAAAACGCGAATTAAATAGGTAATAATTATTTTAGTCTAGATTGAGTCTTGACACCAGTTTAGGGTTAGACGGGTTCCTGCAAGTAATAACAATTTATGATTTAGATAAAAGCTAGAAATATTGGGGGGGGGGGGTGTCAAGTCCGTCTATGTCCGCTTGTCTCATAGAATCCAAAAAGGACAGGACATAGGCGGACATAGACGGACATAGGCGGACATAGGCGGACATAGGCGGACATAGACGGACATAGGCGGACATAGGCGGACATTAATGGACACCTAAATGGATGATGATTAATCACTCTACACTCGACTGTCATGTGACTTTTTCAACCCCTTCTCTAGCTGGTCATGAACGACTATTCGAAAATTTAACCCTGTAATCTGATCCCAACCCTAACCCTAACCCAATCCTTAACAAAAGCATATGCTGAAACCCTAACCCTATCGAGAAATTAGACTAACTTCCTTATACGGTCATATCACGTGATCAAGACAGTTTTTCGCCAATATCTCGTCAGGGGAGCATTTTAACCCTATGTCATGGGGGGTGATTTGGAATCAGCGTCCAAAAATACATCGATTGAAGTTGGTTTCAACTGTCGGGGACCCTTTTAGAACAATCTCGAAGATCGACTGTAGAGTGATTTAGCACGCTCGCACCTAAATTGCTAAATAAAATGTTCAATTTCTGCTGTTATAGGGGGATCATGTTTTTTGTCCGTTCGGTACCCTCCTCAGTACTCTTCAGAACTCTTCAGTACTCTTTAGTCCTCAAAATTTTTGTCCGCTAATGTCCACCAATGTCCGCTAATGTCCACCAATGTCCATCCAAGTCCGCCAATGTCCGTCTGGGTCCGCCAATGTCCGTCCGAGTCCGCCAATGTCCGTCCGAGTCCGCCAATGTCCGTCCGTGTCCGTCAATGTCCCAAAAAACACGTCCGTTGTCTCATAGAATCCAAAAAGGACAGGACATAGGCGGACATAGACGGACATGACACCCCCCCCCCCCCCCCCCCCCAATATTTCACAAATTTTGGGTTATATCATTCCCTTGAATGCTGCTGACTCATCTGCATTATTGTAAACTAAGTTGGGAGGTGAAGCATAAACTGATCTCGGCTGCGTGACGGAGTAGAATCAGATGAGAAATGAATTATCACATACTCACCATCCTGTATTGACCACGTGATCCAATCTTTGAACTGATTGAGCACTAGATTGCCTATAGTCAGCACTCCATTGGTTATTCTATTCAGGTGGGAGCATCTAATTAACTTAGTGAGTAGAGTTTTCGCACATATCAGTAAAAATGCAATCAACCAGTTTGTAATTATGGAGGATACCATTGTGAATTACTGGGTATAAGATTAACAGTGTTTATTTGTGAATTTATATAGTGGGAACTTTGTTAATGGCACGCGCCGGCAAAAATTGAAGAATGAGTACAACACTTTTGCAGGTGATAGGTAAAATAGGTGATAGGTAAAACTCTGAATACAAATATTCGAATGAAAGTCTTACTAATATCTTTAAAGGTATAACTTAGGTAAACATAACGATATTGCTGAGCCCACACTATGATATGAGTGAAATACTACAGATTGCACAAGGTCTTAAGTCTCATGAAGATCTTAAGTCTTATGAAGATCTTTGGTCATATTAAGATCTTTAGTCTTATGAAAATGGAAATATGAAGATGATTCTATTAATTAAAAATAATATCGAAAATAAATGATATAAATCAGTCATGTCTAGCTAAGTTACTTATAATAAAGGACTGATAATAAGTAATGTTAAGGAATAGTGTTTATTCTATTTTGGGGCTTCTAATATAATCAATAAGTTTATTTGTGGTAAAATAAAGTATAATTAAGTCAGCAAAAGTGTAAAAGACCAATACCTGAACTCGTTGCTCAGTTAACTGCAGAGAGTAAGCAATCTCTTCTCTCCCAAACACGTCAGGATAATGTGTTTCTTGAAATGACTTCTCCAGGCCTTCAAGTTGGGCTGCTGTAAATGTGATCCTGTTCCTTCTCTGCAGTTTGGACTTTGATTTTACTGAAAGAGAATGGTGTTTATTTTCGAATGAAATTATTATAATTATCTGTAATAAAATAAAATATTACGTTAAGTATTTGGATCTATTATTGGTTAGGGGCGGTCTGACTTGGTACGCTTGTAAAGTATAGATCCTTAATCTATCCTAACAACTTTACGATAAGAGTAATGGGAAAAATCCAATGTTGACGAGTCAATAAGTCTTGTGGTATGTAATGATTTTTCTTGCTGAAATAGCATAGTTTTTAAGAAACCTGTCCCGACAATGCCTGATCAGTAGGATTTATATTGAATACGATTTAATAAAAGGAATTAGCGGCGTGATGAGGGTTCTGGTACACAAACTATCTCAAATTCGAAACTCTGCCGAACTGGGGCAGCTAAGTGAATTTAAAGAGGAAGCTGAGCCGCTCAGCGCCTGGATCTGCTTCTCACGGACTCGCCGGTAAATGTTTCTCAATTCTTGTCATGTTATGAATACGAGGCTAACCAATCAGGGCGGTCGCTCGATCCACGTGTCTAGGATAGAGCCAATAAAAGCGCGCTATCCTGTCACGTGACATTCGAGTTCATTTACCAAAATTCGGGAGTTGGATGGAAATGGGAGTGCTTGAGTCAAGCTTGACGGTGTCACAGAGAGATGGAAGAAGGTTCAATTAGCGGTGACAGGCTCTACGCTCCAGCACCACTGCAAGCTCGACATCTTTCATCTTTAAATACTTTAATGCCCTTGTTTTCCACTTAACTCCCTAAGTCTCGTTCAGTGTTCACCCTCCTATCATCAATTGATCTTAATTTTGCTTGCAGAGGGATGGTCCGTGACAGGGGCACGAGCCGTGGACAATGCTCGGACAGCCTTGCTGGACCCTTGCTAGAATGTTTAATTAAAGTCAGCTTAAATCAGTAGATTACGTGGCCTGGAGGGCGGAAGTTTAAAACTAACTTGATGAGAAAGGAGTGGCGAGGGATGCGGCGGAGCCGGAGTTGTCGTGTGCCTGGAGACCGAGGATGCGTTCTATGCTGTGCTTCACTGTTGAGTCGGGGGACCTAGGGGTAAGATACAGTTATTCAATTATTGGTTAATTTTAGTACCCCTTTTACAGTCAAAACAGTATCGCCCGGAAATAGAAATAAAATCATTGATAAGTTATACTTGAATCTGGCTCTATCTTTATCTAGATTTTCTATTAATAATCAAGAGAATACTCAGAAATACTTAGAATTTTTACCAGGTCAATAATTAGAAATATTCCCTCATCTTACCTCTGGCATTGTATTTCTTGTTGACTATCCCGGTTTGGTGAGGATAGATTGTCCGTCAGATCCAACATCTCAACCTCATCCCCCATAACCTCGCCCATCATCGTCTTGTTCTCAGTCTCCGAGTCAGACTGATGTTTTTGAGGTGGTGAAGAGACTGATTCTTTGTTCTGAACCGAGCTGAGCAGAGAAGATATGCTGGATCGGGACAGGAGCATGGAATTGTGTGAACTCACGTGGGTGGTCACGTGATCATCTATATTGCCTGCGGAGGAAGAGAATAGTCCCCCAGCAACCGTAGTCAGGGTCAGGGTTGAGGGAAGCAGGTACGGATGTAGAGGTGCCACTGCTGCTTTCAACTTTGCTATGTCGCCGAGTGTTGTTTCAGAGTTGGGAAGTGGTAACACGGCCATGTCGTATTCGCTAAAATAAAAGGAAGTGTGATTAAGAGAAATGGAGAAGGAAGGAGAATTTTGTAATTACTTTTTTTTCTCGAATCAGCCTACTCAATTATAGATTTGGTGATTTCAGACCATAATTTGGTTTTTATTGACGGCATTATATTGCAACAGCTCAAAAATAAATTTTCAAATTACAATGGAGAGAATGTACAGAAAAAGTACGACTTTTTCTTTTACTCTGAAATGCTGGGAAAATTAGACGTAGAGTACGCACAGTGCCCTTCAAAAATGGACCAAAATTATAAATTTGCTCCTGAAATAGTCGATAGGAAATGGATACGACCCTCTCAGTCATGGGGTGCCCACATACGGGGTGTAAACCCGCTAATATGCCACCCTATATCATACCAGAACTTAATCAAACCTTGAAAAGAACTGACCCACCACACTTTTAGATGGGCGAATTTGTTGGTAAAATTTAAGGTAGTTTAAATGTTATTTAATTCTTTATTCAGTGGACCTGTTAAGTGGTTGGTGGGGCTTTAATGGTCTTAACTGTATTATTCATTAAGGATATTGAGGCGTGGCTAAATCGACGGTTCTGACTCCTGAAAGTAATTTCCTTTGACACTCACGATTATATGAACATTGCTACTTAACGGATTCAAAGACACTCTAAATTTGTAGAGGTCATGAGTGAGCAATCAAAATATCATTAACTGGTCCAAATTGCAAATAGCAGGGATGTTTGGTGTCTGGCAGCACATAAAAACCTATTAAACTCGCCTAGTGAATTAAAAACTGACTTTATGACACAATGAGACTATTAATGTTCAATTCTTTGTCTTGCTAGGGAACAAAAATTAACTGGTTGAACCGACACAATGCTATCAATAGGACTCCATTTGTTATAATTAACATGTTCTGTTTTTTATAAAATTTTCACGGTGTGACACCTGCGAGAAACCCGGAGGGTAGTTGACACAGTTTCTCAACTCAATTAACAGAGAAACCCGATCATTAACGCCATCCTGTGGACTATGGGTCCAGATGATTAAACAAAATCAGTATCTCGCATCAGAGGGTGCTAATTATTTCCACAAAAAAGGTGAGCCAGGGGATTTTGAATGTGGATTGGTCTTTCACGCGGAGAGAATGCTGCCTAGTGTGACTCGAACTCACAAATTAATGAAATGAGGATAATAGGGCTGGTGGTTAGGTTATAGCTGATGGCTCGCTCCCCTGGAGGCTAACTCAACGATTACTGAACAAGCAAACAACAAGCACGTTAACTAGCCCTAACTGTCACGCGTTGCCACGAGCAAGACTGGAGTCCTTACCTCCTCACTGTACACACTCCTTACCTTCTGATTAAAACTTAATTCTTGATAAATTAGTTGCCACTGAATGGACCTAACCAGTGCTGGATGTTAATCAACCAATCGTCACTGCATGCTGCTTACGCTTTCAATGTTTCATTGCAATCTCTGGCAATTTTGCATTTATACTGTAGACAAACATTTGTTCTCCTATTCAAGATCTCCTATGTTATAATAGACGGGCACGTACTAATATTAATAATAAACAAAATTGTACATAACACACAAGAAGTATTCTAACGAAGAAGATTTCTCAACAAAAAAAGTAAAAACTCCCACCACCGCTACTCAGAGTTAACTCCTTAGCCAACTCTGTGGCAGTAACACTGCTCTATTTGCTGAGAAAACAATGCGAGGAGTATCGAGCCGTGAAGCGGTGGGTTAGCGGAGAGAAAAGGAGCGGGATTATGAGCGATGTTGCCGGTGTCGACTGGTACTAAAGACAGGTCTCCTGGCACGAACTACACAACCTATTAGACACGCTACGATTGCACTGAACGAGATAATCAACGAACAAAGGGTGAAAAATGCCAAGATTGAAACGTACGGCTGAAATAGTTAAGTTGCCAGACAGAGGGGACATTTTTGGGGGAGTCGGAAAGTTTCGAATATTCGTGATGTTTTGTGATAAAGATCGTCATAGACTGCTTGAAATCGTTATCAATTTGGAAGGTGACTTAAGACTTTGGCTATTATCCTGCTTTGATTGTAGTATAAATCATAAAGAACTCCACCTATTTTTAAAATTTTGATTGTGACAGTAGTATGGCATAGAGAATACTAGTACTGGCGAAGTTGCAGTCGGTAGATTTAAGAAAATTAACGGAAACTTTATGAACATTAAAATTAATATAAAATTTTGAATGCAATATGACCAGGCTAATTGATAGAACTAGGGGGATGGCAGTATTTAAAGAGTTTCTAAGTTAGGAGAGTGACTATAAAACTAGTATATATATATAAAACTGAAGTGACATTGAGCATGGAAAATAACTACCAAACAACATGAAGCAATCATCCATGAAACCCTGTTTTTTCTACGATTGCCTATTCAAATATGGTATTTATGAACTTCCCTTTTGCACAGTGGTTTCTTTGTAAGTTACTTAGTCGAGAATCCCTTTTAGCTTCCTTTAATTAATCGCAAGCTTTTCAGCAACTTTCAACCATGAATGACAAATTACTAAGCAGACACGATGACGATACTAATTTAAACAATAACTAGTGTTGCAGACCAATTTAGTCTTATATCTTATAACAAATCTTGCTCAAGTAATGTCTGAGCAGAAATGTAATTGATGCATTGAGTCACGAACTCCAACCCACAAACATTAAATGATAACATTAAGAGATCGCAATAAACCAAACTTTATGTTTTATAAAACCCCAAAAACGATGCAATAAGCAATTGATAAGCGTTATCATGAATTACAAACAAAACGGAGGCAACTGAAAACTACCGAATGTGATGTGGCTCCGGATATAAACTTGTAAATAAACATATCCACTTGTGATCAACTTGTTAACCATTTTCACGATTAAATACGCAGCGATTACTATTCATAATATTGACATGATGTCTCGACTATTGACTGTTTATCCTTAAAGCTAAGTAGGAAAATCACCTGAGTGACGGAAAATGTGAGGTAGAAGTTGTGCACCACAACATGGGGAAATTGAGAAAGACACGGTCCCACCAAGAGTACAACAAACTCAGACCTAATTCTGGTCAAGACGCTATGTCGCGCGTTACTGCGCGCTCCTGAGATCACGTGACATTTGCTGCGTCGTGATTAGTCATTTACTATGTCACGTGAATTGCTCACGATCACAGCGTTGCGTAGTGTGTCGGGTGGTGCATAGGACAGATTGGAGCTGCCTGCGGATCTTCATTCTTCAGGTAGAAGTGAAACATACTACACTGTCTACGAACATCATGGTCTGGCTGCAACAGCCGGGCAAAAGGTGTTACGCGTGGAATCAAGTGTCACATTTTGATAATAACGAAGGTTACTATTCACTATTTTATTGTTTACCAACCGTATCGAAAGTCGAAACTGAATCACAGTTTTATCAAAGAACCTTTGAATCATTTGATTTTTAATTTATCAGACTACATGACAACAAGATCGTGGTTTACTATACTGTTATTATTAAGATAAACGTTTAGCGTACAGTCTCGCTGATAGAAAATAAATAAGTAAATTAGACCCCTACAGGCCCGAGGAAGTCAACAAAATAAACTTAATTGCGATATCGACTTCATAACTTGTAGTCAACTCGTTATTTGGTATAATTTCAAATGAAATTTCATACGATTTAAGCATAATTTAGTCTAGTCTTCGTAAAACTGTAAGCGTTTGAAGATTGATCTAACACTGATATAAGAGTGATTAGATAGCGATAAGATTAAACGAATAGAACTAGAAGGTTAAATAATTTGTATCTATCAGATATAACACTAGCCTGAAATTAATAAGAATTATCCAAATTAGCCCCAGTGAGCAGTGGTGACAATACCTCTCAGAATCTCGGAATCTAATTGAAGGTCTTCTCATTTAAATGAGATTTTGAAAATGGGTCGGTAAGTGCGCTCCTTCAGGGGATATTGTCCGTGCCTCATCGAGCCACTTCTATTAAATCACAGCTCATTGATTGGAAACATCTTTGAAACATTAGTTTGGGACCGGTTTTTGTAACTTTTGATTATTAGTGGAAATCGCATCAAAATTGACGTGTTTACCCAAGAGTTCCTCTTCAAGACCAAGCTGAAGTTTATAATTAGGTCGGTACTAATGTGGAACAGTCCACCACTCCGGTGTGACCCAGTTTACAGAACTAAATGGTGGGAACACAAAAATTGAAATCTGAACTGCTAGTGCTATAGCCGCCAAAAATATCAGATTTGCACTACTAAAGACACGGTTTCAAATTTATCAGGTGGTGTGGCCGGCAGAGGTTAAAATGAGAAATACAAATGATTAAATTAGCTGAGGTTGGAGATGTATTGAGCTGAATATGTTATAAGTTGGGCGAGGGGGGTTTGACTAGAACCTGGTTATCTAGTTGTAGTGCTGTGCAGCTTGCCTGGAAGCATGCACCTAGCTCTAGCCACCTAATAATTACTGGATTTGTTAATTAGATCCATTGAACCCAGAGCGCAACAGCTGGATGTTATTAGAGATTAAACCTTATTTTCATGATGTGATCCCTTGTTACTCTTGAAGTACGCGACATATGATGAGTCTCAAATATCCCCTTTTAGTGCGACTACAGGAATGTGGTAGAAGATATTAACGATATTCGTCGTACAAAGGAATAGATAGTATAGAGACTTAACCATTCAATGTTGGTTGAGGTATAAATAAACGCTAATGTAGGTATCATTACAAGCAAATGCTAAAAGTGATATGATATCAAATTTCATACTCAATGAAATTGAAAGGAAGTGCCTTGAAGACATCGAGATGAGGAAGCCAGAACGTTACAATCTCTGCAAACACAGCTATTTTAAACAAATCGAGGTCCGATCGTAGAGCTGTCCGTATTGAATTAATTAAAATGGCAGAACATTGCGAGAGGAGCGTGACTTTGTCACGAAATTGAAATTCTTGTCCACAATGGCGGGTCTAAGGACATTGTTTGGA